TTTTGATATTAACATTGGGAGGGCTGCATGCGAGACATCGTCTAAAAAAAACTTTAAAATTTAGTTCCTACCTCAAAGGAAACAGCGCATTTTCATTACAAAGATCAGTTGATTAATGGTATTCCGGAAATGAATTGGTGATTATTCTGATGAACATAGGAAACGCACAGGTGCATTCTTTGGGCATAATTCTGCGTTAGTGAATGTTAAAGTAGGTAGTACATATAGTTACCGTCGAGCCTTAAAAGATTAATCTATCGATAAATGTCCACAGAAAACACACTCGCCAACAAGTGACGTGGTTGGAGTGAGCAATGACGAGATTCCAATACTTTGAGGTCAGCAACAGAAGCAGAATTAAAGAACTTTGTCGGCACTGCAATCAGGAAACAGCTGAGGAACTGCGAACAGTGGGCCCACCCTTTTTCCTTTGTAAAGAACCGAGCAGGGTTCTTCATTCGACTTTTCATGAACGAATACTGCCCCATTCATATAATGACACCAAAATTGTTAATCATTTACTAGCTGTAAGCCACTTCCAGCTACCCATATTTCCAAATAACTTGACACTTCAGATACGCCTCATAGAATTTCAGACATTTGAAATCCCATTCATCTTGTAACCATGTTATAAGGAGATCATGACGCAGGCTAATCGCTTTAACAGCTCGCCGCTGTCGCTGCTGTACACGAAAAGGTCGAAGGTTGCCATGTTCATTCCCCTAGATAGATGTTCTGATATCTATAATGTTTTCTGCATCTGAGAGCAACCTTGCGGTTGGCAAGCTCGTTCGGTGATCATGTCCCGATTTGGAACAAGTCTGGCCAGCGCAAACTTGTTTGTCCGACGTTCTTGAACAAGAATATCAAATACCTAATAGCAGGGTTGCATATGAACAATGGTTCTAGCGTTACTTTTCTCTAACAAGAATATGTTAGGGTTTTTTTATTTGAAAAGAAATATATATCTGTCTCTGTGCAGAGTTCAAGAAAAAAAAATCACAACTTTCGTTTCTATTTTTCAAATAGAACATTCCATTCTTGAAAAGCCATAACATTTAGTCTTGCTTTGTCAAGCGATGTCAATTAAGCAGGCCTATGCCGTCACCTATATGAAGAAATTTACAGAAACAGGCTGTGTTTATTAACGAGATATCTCGCCTGCAACATGTAAAAGGTTAACTTAATGCATATGAACTACCTTTGAAGGAGCAGGGAAGGCGTCAGGGGCGTCCGAGTCCCATTCTGAGCTGAGGTCGTCGCTGGAAGCTTCGCCGTAGTCAGGAGGACAGGGAACTTCGAGCAGAGATTTCTGGTACTGTTCGTACCCTGGGGAGAGCAGTTGGGGATGGTGGGGAGGCGACCAACTGGAGGAGGATCCACGGCGAAGCCGCGGGTTACTGCTGGCAAACCGCTGTCTACGTGACGACGACATCCGTTCACCAGGAGTCACACCGTTAGGGCATAACGTGTTCGGGCGAGGGTGGAGGTTGTCGTTCTCAGGCATTGCGTCATGCAACAGTCCGCTTTTGTTGTTCAGCCACGAACTATTTCGCCCGAACTGCACAAACTACCGATATCACCAATGTTCCAACCAGTCACGATGCTGCAGAGAATAATTACTTCACTTCGTTAACGCAATGTTGTTCACACACAGATTACACAGGGAGTTTCATTTGTAAGCGCGGACTCAGCCGGAATAGTCGGACGTTCTTCCCGGAAAGTCGGGGCGATCCATAACGCAAGTCCCTTGACGGCTACTCTGTGTGGACAACGCACTGTGGATGTCTAATATTTTCGGAAACTTCAGGGTACAAATAACTGCCTTTCATCTCTAGTGTTCCACTCATCATTTATCAGAAATCAATCGACAGTAAAACCATTCTAGCCGTTATGGTGAAACTTTAATTCTGCGCTCTGTGTACTCTACTCAAAGAAACATCAAAATTCACGTCGGCATAATTTACTGCATATACAGAGACCTTTAAACCAATCCACTACAAAACTTAACTTTTCCCAGTTACCTAAAATGTTCGTTTAATGCTGCAAGTTTGATTCTAATAAAAGTAAAACAGTCCCGCTACACGCCATGTAAGTCGCTTGGGGGGAGAGATTGTAAAGCTCCGACTCATCCGTGACCTCGGCACTAGATGGGGGTGAATGGTCAGTATCACGCCCCGGCCGGCTTTACCCCCAGGAAAGGGCCCCTGTACCCATTGGATAGGAGGCTGGTGGGACCCCAGAGCCGGTCTTGACGCAGAGGCTAGAGGAAAAATCCTCTGCCCTCGTCGGGGATCGAACCCCAGTCGTCCAGCCTGTAGCTAGTCACTAAACTGACAGAGCTACCCGGCTCGATGTTTATAGTTCTTATTAACAATCGAACTCTGGTTATAAAATTTGAACTTTTCGTCCGCTCATGTTCAAAATGTCTCTATTTCCTAGATACCGATTTTCTTTAGAACTTACGTCATGTCTTCCGCTTAGTAATATAATACAGTAACTCTACACTTTCCACGCGCGTCTGAGGCATTCAAATCACTGAACCCCACTGAGTCGTATGCCTTCAATCAAACAACACGACAGCCCAAAACGCGTATTTTATTTAAATTCACACATTTTTTTTTCAAACATAAACAAATGTGTTCTAACATTTCCCTCCATATCGTAAATTTGCAAAGATGACTATTTACATGGTTGTAACGCCGTGCAGTCTAGAAAAAGTTAACCAACCAACTATAATTTCCAATATCTTTGTAACGTTGTCATATTATTTCATTGACGCAAAGAACAGTCGTATTTTCGAAAAGTTTAAATAAAAGAACACAATTTTTAGATTCATTAATCAAAACCGAAGTTCTTAAATAGCTCAACATTTCTAGTTATTCGAAATGATTGAAGCTACACAAAAATTAGCGACATCAAATAACCTGTTCGCGTTATTTAACACGGACAGAAGTGCTGCTAGATACTCGTGTCTTCGCGTCAAGGTCTCCAACAGCTCGTAGTGCAGAATGACGCATTTAACGTCCCTGTCCTTCAGACTACGTCCTACACAGTCCCTCGATCTGGTTATATATAAGTAGTCTGTTACAACTGAAAGAATAAGTCTGCGTCCACAGAAGATCCCATTCAGATTATCGACTCAGCAGAGACTACAGCAGTTCTTAGAATGTGACTGGAAAGCTGTTACAATAAATACACCCAGATACAAGAAGGCTTCTAGGTCCCACATCGCATCAGCCAACACCTCGGTTCCTAAAGAAAGAGGGAATGAAGAAATGAACTGGACTGATCTGGCTCAGGCGACCTCTTCTGAACACGGTACCGTAGTGAAAGATTGGTTTCATAAAACACGAGAATTCTCTTGACGTATTTAATTCTTCATGTACAATACCCGTTAATGTTGTTAGATTTTAACCAAAATTTGAATGATTAGACACATTTTCGAAATATCAAATCAAAAATATCATAAAACCCCTTTCAACCTTTCTAGAATTGTTACAAAAACACATAGAAACACTACGAAGAAACCAAAGATATAATAGAAGCATCAAGGTGACAGTGTCAAATTGTAAAAATCTCAGCTCGCTACCGGGGGGGGGGTGTTTGCTGATCGTCAGAATGACCTGTAAGCTTTTCTCTTACAAGAACAAAAGATACTGTCACGATCGAGGGAGACTGGTATAGTTAAAAAAGAAAACCTGCACAGAGGCATTCAAAGCGAACAGTCGACCACTCCAAGAAATCCCCTCCCCTCCCCCCCGCGCCACCGCTGCCGACAATACTCACTTCTATCGACAGCAGTTTCTGAAATCACAGAGGCATAACGAGACGGCGCAACTTCAACAGTCAGACCACACGGAGAATCCAAGAATGAATTTCCGACAAATATGGCGCACCTTTGGTCTCGAACTGAATGACAAACGACCACAGCAACAAAGCACTTCTTGAGCGGTAAAGTTTTGCTCTCAAACAGAAGGTCACAAATCCTCTTGTTTCATGAGAGAAAGGATTCTAGACATCGCTCGACTCCAGCGCGTCGCTGCATAACAGCAAATACGTGTGCATTGGAACGAGAGGCCAGATGTAGCTCTGCATGGGCAATGGATCTGTGGTACGGACAAGCTCGAAGGAAATTAAAAGATGACATTAAAAACGAGATTAGATTTTCACGATTATCGGCTCATGCTTTATGACACCGTGTATACTCACAAGCAGTTGTCGACATTTCGATGAATCTTCTACTTAAATATGAGGGGTATGCTGAAGTTTCATACTACCATTTTAGGGAATCCTTAAGATGGGAAAAGCAAATTCCACCGAGACATTCATAACAAGCTAGGAGTCTACTGGTTTACATAACCCAAAAGATCACAATCTAGAGATGAAATACGTTTTCAAATTTGCCAACAGATGAGTTTATCCAGTTTTTTCTGCATGTTATTTTAATTTACTTCCTTTTTATACAGACTGGGTGAGGTTCAGGTGGACGCACTGCGTCAATTCTCGATGAGTACTCAGCAATGTTTGAATGTTCTCTGTCAAGGAAAAGTAGGTCTGCTCGTTCTCTGGATAGTGACACCAACCCCAAGAAAGAAACAGCATGTTTCAAGTGCCCATGGCGTTGCTGCTGAATTTCAGCCCTGAAGATGAAGACAGTCTATTTCTCCGAAACGCTGGTATCTGCCAACGGCGCCAAAACCCAGAAGAACAGAATCTACAACACAAGAATGTGTTTTATTTGAGATTCGAAGACCTCAGTAATTCAATTACAATGTTAAGATAAATAACCACAGATTTTACGCGTCTCAAGATAACACATTGCAAAGGAAGTAATGAATGGCAAGAAATACGCCGACAAAGAAATGTTAGCTACTTGTAAAAATGGACACGTCTTAAGAGCGGTAATTAGTATAATGTTCGTGCCTATCAGGATGACTACTGATTCTGCAGTCGGCTACAAAGAAGGAATATTTCCATGTCTCCTTCCGCTTCTGTTGTTCTTGCTACTGCGAGGATTTTCTTTGACGTTTCGAAAGCACGAACAATTACAGAAATTACAATGTGCAAAGGATCTCTCGATTTTACAGGAGGTCTATGCTAAATGCCACCCGCTCTGCTGATTAGTACACAACACTGCTCTGACTTAAGAATTATTAAAAAATTATGTACAACATTTCTCGTGTCTTTCTTCAGAGAGTTTTCCAGATGCCAAGAAGTTCAAAGTTAACAAATGTCCTCCGTAGTTCCAAGGAACAAAGGCACTGTTTCAACGCGTTCTTTGCAGAATGTCCGTCAACATTAAAGCATGATGGGAAGAGGGCCGTCTATTCCGAAACGTCGTCTCCGAAAGGAATTGTCAGATTCTGATAACATTTTGTGTATTGAGGGGTCTACAGTAAAAACCGTTGAGCAAATTTTTAGTTTTAATTTCTATCGGTCAAATATAAATCCTGTTTTACAGAAGCTCTAATAGAACCGACTCGAAAACACTTCATCGTGCAAACGAAACTACAATATACAAAATATTAATCGCATTTCGAACTAAATTTGTTTCCGTGAAAATAAGTGAGAAGAGATAGTTGCCTTTCAGTATTTATTTATTTAACGGTAGTGTAATTCAGCATCCCAACCAGGTAAGTTTAACTTGCAAAAGTTGACAACTATGAGTAGTAACATTACTCAAAACTGAGAAAGTACAGAAAAGACTGCATGTTTAAGACATCTTAATTATTACAATTTTTATTCTACATGTTTATCAAAGCATATTTTTAATCTTGGTACACACTATTACCGCTCTACAATAATTACGTGTACACTAAATTCCTAAAACTGGCACTGAATAGGTATCAATGTACAAATCTTCCACAATTTTCTTTAATTAATACGGAGAAAATTTACATTCTGTCTCGTCTTGCGACAGTGCAATAGCGAGATTAAGATACAGACACGCACCAGATGTCAATGATATACCCACTCGGCACAAACTGCAAGAACTAGATATAATTTCCTGAAATAGTAACGCTTAAATGTCGAGTTAAACTCTGTGAATTTTAGACAGTATAACTGTGTGTCTGCTATAGAAAAGAATTCAGCGAACCGTGATGACGTGTACTAGAACCACATTTACTTTTAGAGGCCAATTTCTTTATTTTCCTTTCGCACTTGAAAGAATTTCAACCGAAAACGTCTACTCTTAGAAATTATAAAGACAAGAAAAAGGAATCTCTTTTACTGCTCGCATTTCTCACAAATGTAAATGTTATTATAACTAATTAAATTTTCCACAGAAAGTTATTAAGGTTATCACTCAACTATTAACTTCTTGTCATAACATTAAATAGTCAGAATTTACGAAATGCTTATACGGGAAGATAGAGCAAACATCACATATCAGCAAACAGATGGAATGTATTTACACTGCATACTGAATTCTTTCTTAAGAAGATAACAGACGCTCGGCTACTGAAGAAATTCCTCTCCGGAACATCCGTTACTCAGCCACCGGGCCCTATCCTCTTATCCAGACGAATTCAGTCCACACCTTCCGCCCAAACTTTTACAAACCCTTTTTTTTTTAAAAAAAAATGTCGATTATTACCAGTATCCTCTCATTTACACTTATATCTTTCAAATGGCCTCTTCCCTTCATGTCTTCCTATGAAATTTTTGTATTCATTTCTTATTTCTCCCATACGTGCAAATTCCTTCACATTACATATCGTATATTTGTTTCTGCGTACGTTTTACCGACATTTCCTATTTTTATTATTATTTCAGCATTTCCGTATATAAATAGGTAATATTTACATTTTAAACAATTTACAAAAAGCACGATTTTTTCAATTTCAGCGATTTGAAAAATTTTCCGTACGAATGTATACAACAAAGCGTATTACTGCCCAACATTTGAATACAGCGCGTGTTATCAACACTTTCATTTTAAACATTTACGTAATCTACCGCTATAATGCAACGCACTTCCTGCAAAATTTGAACACACGTGCACTACAAATATATTTATTTTAAATAACACATTTTCCCGCACCAAGTCTTGACAGCGACACAAGCAACAGTTTCTATGGCAACGTATCCTAGCAACATCCTACTCAGTGTCCAACAGTCACACAACTGAAGGCTCTGAAGACTTCACATTTCCGTCGTACTATGCTATGTGCGATGGGCGTAACTAGTCCTGACGTCATCAACACACACTACGTAATCAATGACGTTAACAGAACGATTAGAATACAAGGCTGTCTGCAGAAACTCTTCAGCAGACGGTCTTGTGCTGAATATTTAGCCCCTCGTTTATACAGCTTTTATTTGTGTTAAACTCTTAGGAAATATAAGCAGTCTGATTTTCAACTACGGAATGGAACATCCGAAATTCTAGGAAAAACTGAAACAAACAGAAAAGTGTTTAGAAGAGAAGAGTGATGATTCTCAGGCCGGCGAATATGACGATGGTCCTCTAGGCTGTGGCGTCGTGTTGACTTCTACAGGGGTTCCAACCTTTCGGAGGGACATGAAACATCCATTTTCAGGGTCGAAGCGATGGTACCCACCTACAAGTCCAAACGGCGTCACAACCCAGAAGACCGCATCGACATATTTTTTCTCAATAGATTGGACGGAAGGCTGGGTGGGTCCCGAAGTCGGTCTCGACGCAGAGGCTAGAAGAATATGCCCTGTCCCTGTAGGGGAACGAACCCCGATCGTCCAGCCCGTAGTCAGTCACTACACTGACCCGGATCAAGTAAATTATAATTAATGTATAAAGCGAAGTTTCGCGGCGACTAAAGTTGTTGAAACCCTCTTGGGGTACAAGCCACGTCAGGTGGATGAATTGTGAATGAACCTCTAAAATACGAAACAAGTACCTTTCTTCGTGTGACCAAACTGCTTAAGATTTGTTTACATCAGTTTTAACAAATGAAAATATGTTGGACTGTGAAAGTTGAAATGAAAGTCGCAAGGACGTACAAAATATGTCCGTTACTTATCTGTGCTATCAGTGTGGACGGGCTTTTGACTAGATAATTAATGAACCCATCAGTACCATTACGTATGGAATGCGTCACGGGGTAATAGTTGCCTCGGGGAAGACCACGAGAACACGCCACCCGTCTGATGTAACAGGCGCCTCCTGATCTGCAGAGTCACCCAACAGCTGACTGTTGTTATCTGCACTGATATAAATCAATGTCCACAAGTTCTTTAACGACAATCCTACCAACTGGAAACATTCAGTAACAATCCGAACTTAGGAAGAAAAGATACTTTGGACTCTGTGACTAGTCCCTCTAGATCGCTATCTG